AGGTTAAAACCAGCCCTTTAAAATGTTCAAAATCCTACTTCACTTTAGAGTACAAATTTTTACACAAAACATCTGAACATCACATCATAGAATGCCTGAACACTTATTGCACTTAGGAAATTAAAAGCCCTATGAGACTATCAAAACAGTTTAATTTGTAAATTATTATTAGGATAACAGAAAACAAGTAGTACATCAGATGCACATTCCAAGGGACTAAGAATAACCATCCTGGTAACTACTGTTTACAAATTACAGTTTTCAGCTTCTTAAAGCATTAAAAAAGTTATCCGAAACCACACAGATGTACATTAACTACTATCAGCCTTCATAAAAAGTTTCTGCAGATAGAAGTGAAATATTGTTGTAATGCAGTGTTCATATTAAAAAGGATAAGCACACGGACTCGATCTTAGAGGTCTTTTCCAACCCAAATTATTCTATACTCTCTTACAGTCAATACTGAGGTTATCAACTGTAACAAAGCACTGTAAACAATGTATTTGGATTTAAGGAAAGACTAAAGTAGCATTTTCATAACGAGAACCACTCAAATTAAATTCTTCTACCACTCAACTGTGGGAAAAATAGGAAATGAGTTAAAATAGACAAAAATCATAATAGGTGACCACTAACAGAGTTCAGTGGATGCTTGTAGGGGAAAAATTAGAAATGTAATTTCTAACGTATAAGCAATAAAGGAGTAAAAGGCCCTTCAATGCCATTTCCAATTTCTTCCTCTGAAAGGTAGGTCTATGTCTCATCAAGGCAGAAAACAGAAACAAGATTCTAGAAAAAGCTTGTAAAACAGCATCTTTTGTAACAAAACTAGTAATTGGTATGTTAAAGAGAAGTCTGCTGTAACTTGGACTGGTAACAGGGGTTTGGACAATGGAAGTTTACAGACAGTTTCAGGTTTACCAAATCACTGGCAATTAGAAGTTCTGAAAACAGAAGGAGGAAAGGAAGAACAAGGTGCATTTGGACCATAAATTCTGTATGAAAGTTCTAGCTAAGGAAAACCACTGCACAGTGTTTGACTTCATTAAAACAGGAGTCATTGTGTGCAAAACGAGAGCACTAAAGCTAACATGACTAAACCAAACCCAGTTTCGCCTACTGCAGCCACTGCAATATCCACATTTTCAAAAAAAAAAAGAAAACCCTACCCATTGCAATCAACATTATCTGAAAATTTTAAAATAAGTGAGGCGTTCAAAGTTAGAAGCCAGCAAAAGCTGTGAGACCTTGATCAACCCACTGAAACACTCCCACAGACCTACCAAAGCAAACACTTGGAGCATCGAAACACCAAGCACCACCTATATAATATATAGGAATATAATAGTGATTATATCCTGTACCTAAATCCCAAGAACATATGCCCATCCAGCAAGTCTAGAAACAATTTCAATAAACATAAAGTGGTTTTATATAATATAGTAGCTCCATGTCTTGCATACAGCTACTAACTTGTCAACAACTATTTTTTTTTCAGCTACACACAATAAAAAAACTTGTCACAGAATCACAGAATCATCAAGGTTGGAAAGGACCCTGGAGATCATCTAGTCCAACCGTTCACCTAGCACAGTTCCCACCAACAGCATATCCTTAAGCTCTAAATCGACCCTACTACTCTTGAACACCTCCAGGGATGGGGACTCCACCACCTCCCTGGGCAGCCCATTCCCACGCCTAACAACCTGTTCTGTAAAGAAATGCTTCCTAATATCTAGTCTGAACTTACCCTGGTGCAACCTGAGGCCATTCCCTCTTGTCCTGTCACTTTCTACTAGGCTAAAGAGGCTCAAACCCAACTCTCTGCAGCTTCCTTTCAGGTAGCTGTAGAGGGTGGTAAGGTCTCCCCTCAGCCTTCTCTTCTCCAGACTAAACAATCCCAGTTCCTTCAGCCGTTCCTCATAGTCTTATCCATTTGTCTATCCGTTGTCTTATGTCAATGTCTTATCCATTTGTCTATTAAATGAATTCCAGCAATTGGTCTGCACCCCTTTCAAGTTCACTGAAAAACACAAGTTAAACTTATGAAGGTTGCTGGCACTGACTCAGCGTTTCCTCAAAATTCTTAAGAGCTTAGTATGTGAAGACCTCTACTTAGCCTGTCCTTCCCTCCCTTTCATCCTTTCTTTTCCTTGTTCATTGACAATATTTATATCAAGAAGTGTTTTTTCAAGTCAGACTAGACTTTCTGATGTTGGACAAACAGCTCCATTAATTCTGGAGAGGACCTGAACACAAAAAGAAGTTATTAGGCAATGTTGTGTGCTACCTGCTTTTGAGCAAACAGGGCTTAGAAGTCCCTTCAGGGAGACCGAAGAGGCATTCCCTCAGAAGGACATACTGCAGAATTCCCTTCCGTTTTTAAAATTAAATACTAAACCATGGGTATGGGGTCTAAGTCATGCAACCAGGCAGATGTTTGGCTCCCTTGTTGAAGAGGGGGCCCAATTCCTTTAGTATAAGATGAGGAAGAGCCACCACAGTTTAACAGCAGCTTCAGAGAAGCAGCTACACCAAGGAGAATTCTGCCAGCAAGGTAATACACTGGCTGCACACAGCCTCACAAAGCAATAAAATGTTCTACAGTTGATGTGCCAGCCATGTCAAGCCACAAGCCGTTGTAGGGAATTTTACTAAATTACATCAGGTGTGATTGTATACATTTTTACCTTTCAAGCCTATCAAAGAAGTTAAAAGAAAATTGGAGTATGTGTGTAAAACTAGCATGCATTTCATGATACCACCTTTTATTTCCTACTGAATGCAATTTCACAGAAGATATAACCTATTCTTTACTGAAAAGGTAAAAGAAACAAAGCTATTGTCATTAGTCAAAGGATTACTCAGCATTGATAGTTATTAAAGCAATGGTGATATAGCCAGCACCTACAGCCCTGGCTGGTGCCAGGATCCTGCTTATCTCCCACGAAGTCACCCTCCTGATGTACAGTCCAATGGTAAGTCACACCCTTTTTCTAAAGGAAAGATAATTTACAAGTTCTCTTCAAACTTCTGCATTTCTATCCCTTGCCCTTCACAGGTCTGTTTATAGACTATATGAACCCCCTGAAAAAGCCACTAAAAAACCATCGTTAATCCTATATTCAACCCAAAAGTCCTGGAGTTGCATAAACCAAGTGTCATTTAATCTAGTGCTCCCTATTAACAACTTGCAGGGTTCATTCACATCCCCCCTCATTTAACGAGGTTAAGAAGTTGCTTTGTTTCCTGCTGAAATAAACAGCAAAAATTATAAGGAATTGGATTTGGTCCCAGACATATCTGGCAACTCTAACACATTTATACAGAAGCATTCCTAACCCTATTGGTTGGCAAATATTAAATAGTTGGTTGACTGCCATGTAAGTAAAACAAAACCTCAATATTTTTATGTAGGTAAAACAAAACCTCAATATTTTTTAAAAACACGGTGTTCATAAATTCTTTCTAGTTACTACTGAAATCTAGCAGACACACAAAGAAGCTTCCTGGAAGCTTCTAAGTTCACACTAGCTTTTTGTGAAGAGACTTCTCTCTCAAAAAGTCCCAGAGGGGGAAAAAAGAAAGTTGACTTCACAAAGATCCACAAACACCTTGACTTGGAGTATATAAAATTATAAACCTAACTATAACTAGCACTCAAAAATAAATGTACTAACAAAAACCACTAATGGTTCTTTGAAACTCATATTCAACGTAGAAAATTTAGGCAGTGAAAATAGTAATTTCTGCAACTAGTTCAAGAGAAAACAGTGAGCAAGGCACAAAGATACAGTGAGCAAAGCACAAAGACACAGCTTCAAGTGCTCTCCTCTGAAATCCTACCAACAGGATCGGTAAAAACACCCTTATTTGCAATTAAACCTAGTGCAGTGTACATCAGTATTTTTCATTTAGAAATGTGAATGTTTGCTTTCTTGTTTCCATTTAAAAAATTGAATGTTTTCCATTTCTTCTTTTAATTTTAGCTGTCTTTGGACACATCTCTGATAGGTACTGATCTGACACTGTCTCACATAACCACAGACAGTGCTCGTCTTTGCAATGAAAAGCTGGCAACAAAAACCCCTGCAGAACTAGGGAGCTGTGAGAAGTTATTTCAGCACGATTAAGAAGGTTTCTTATACGCAGAAGAACTGCTGTGACCACGGGCCGAGATGTCCAGCCCCTAGACAGCCACGGTTAGAAGACAGCAAAGCCCCAGGACACCCGGCTGAGTTCCCACTAGAGGGTGCACAAAGCCCATCTCATACCGCAAAAACCAAGCTCAGCATCGTTTCTCCAGCCACAGAAGTCCTCCCAAGGCATAACCATACCAAAATAGTTACAGACGGTCCGAAAACACTTACTGGTTGTTTTTGGCTTGGGTTTGTTGTTTTGGTTTTTTTTTGAGACAGTACACAATGATCCCAAGTAGCTCCTACAAGGCAAACTAGCACACGGGTGCTAAGGGTGTTTTAAATCACCAGTAAGCAGCCAACTTTACTTCTAAACACCCTCACAGGACTGTCAACTTCTAGCGCTCCACAAATATCATGAGTTACTGCTCATGATTACCCTATTCCTATCAATTTTCTCAATTTATTCCACTTTCTCAGATGTGGAAGACAATTTTCAACTACTTTACACAAATAGCCTCTCAACATCTCTAGAAGCACTAAACCAAAACAAAGAAAACTGCTAAAATAAAGTAAGCACACCAAAGAAAACTGAAAAATAAATGAAGACTAAATAAAGCAGCTTAAGGTGCTTAACTAAAGGTGCTGGTAGAGAACACAATACCATGCACGTGCCATGTTCAGCATAATGAAGCCTCTACTTAAGACTAAAATCCCTAAAAACGAGCATTTTCTTTAACTAAACATTAAGGAACACTTGCAAAACAGGCCAAGTACCTGAACTACCAGACATTCATGGTTATTTAAAAAAACCCAGCTACAGTACTGTGTTATATGCTGGTAAAAAAAAGTAATCCTTACCGTCTTGGAAGACTCTCTCCACATTGAGTCCATAAGTAGCACAGGTTTCATAGTAAGTGCATCTCTTGAGATCATTCGATAACTTCCTCGCTCTGGCATCGTCTATGACACGTGGATTACTGGAACTGATAGCATCTACAGCAACAGCAGGGAAAAAAAAAAAACCTCATTTAAATATAATTTGAAAACATCATCTTACAATTATCAGTACCCAAGCAGTGAATTTAAGTACAAACCATGAAACAACTCCGAATTTTTAGAAAACAACAGGGGTGTGTTTAACTCCAGCTTTATACTTTGTTGGTAGAATCACCGGCATACTGATTGATCCTAAAAACTCAGGAAAACACCTAAAATAGTTTTTGGTTACCTTAAAAATATATTTAGGTCACTAACTGCAAAATATACACAAGCACACGAAAGAACATGAGCTCTGAGTAAGTAAAACACACTTAGAAAGGCAAATTGTTGATGATTATAAATTGTTAAATTATTTTTATGACTCAAAAGATACCAGCACTGGCTTACAAGTAATATTCACCTGTAGAGTGTGAAGCACTTAACATAACATGCTTATATAGACAAGAACATCTTCAGTAAAGAAACAATGGCATGGGAGGAGAAATGGTTCCAGGTATTACTGCAACACTTGGAGAAAGTGTTATATTTGGAAGAGAAATGCTTTTCTTAAAATAAACCCCTAAAACAAGCTAGCCAACACTAAGACAACCAGGGGTGGGAGGGGTGGGGATCACGATGACAGAAAAGAAATAATAAAGCTATAGAGGACTGCAATTATCATGCTGCTAAAAATCTAGAGTCCAGCTCTTTCCTCAGTTCCTCATGTGTGCTTTATTTGGTCCTTCCCATTTTTTAGACTAGTTCTCTCAGTGTTTTGCTCAAGCACAGAGAGCCAACTTTGACAGTACGTTGCAAAACCTCAGCCCTGACCCCACGGCACACACTAAGCCTCGGTCAAGGCAGAAACTTGCCAGCTTAACAAGAAATGGAGATTTTTCATATATTCACAGGTTGCACTGCTGACCTGACTTCCAAGTCACAGCTAAGACTGGATCCAGGAAACTCATTGTAAATGACTGAGTCTCAAACCTTGATGTGAAGGCACTCATGAGACCTTGTGTGAACATACTGCACAACCAATAAAACCAGTATTTTTCTAAATAAATAACAATACTTTGTACCTCTGCAAGATCTACTGTTTAAGTGTGCTTTTTAACTCCTATTTCTAGAGCTTATTCATAGGAGCTGCACAAACTCTTATACCAGAAGAAAAACAACCACACTGATAACGGATTAAGAAGTTTCCTCATTGCTACTCATCACAGAGAAGAACTCCACAAAGGTTATAATTTATGAAGCAATCTTAAATAGCACTTCTTTTTTCCAGGAGTATCATGGTAATTCTCAGCTCTAGCAAAAAAAGTCGAGAAGCTGAGACAGCAGTACAACCTATTCTACAAAACTCTGCAGCTACCACCTAGTCACCATGACAGGCACCAATTTCAGCAGCTGCTCAGAAAGTTTTCCTAAAACTCTGCTACTTTCTGTGGTAAGCAAAACTACCACCATTCTTCAGAAAAAAAGGCATCGCTTTAACATGAGCATTAAGTTAGTGACTACTGCAATGCTGTATTTGAGGTTGGGTTCTGGGCATGACATGACCATACCTCAACTGATGTTATCATTACCTTCTCACAAGGTCTAATTAATAAAAACAGAGCAGCTACTTAGAAAGCTAACAGCAGATTTATCTTAATCAGCAGAGGGCGCTGAAAACATTTAGCCAGAAAGAATTTGATATGCAACACCAGGATTTCAAAAAGTTTGACTTCTGAAGCAAATTCAGTGCTACAGTCTGGTCCACCACAGATGAGGCAGAGGAGAACATCCAGTAGCATCAGGCAAGTGCTAACATTTTGGGAGAGGTTTCATTTCACAGTGCATTTCAAGAATATCAGTCAAAACCAACAAGCTGGATGTCAAACAAGTATATTTCAAATATATTTTCAACAGATGTATTTGTATTTTTCATGTATTTAATTTCACTGCATCGTTTGACAGTCAACATAGCCAAAAAGCTGTATTTTTTTTCTGATGGTTACTCCCAGAATTAGCAGTATATGCATCTTTAGCCACATTTTTTAAAAAGCCCTTTGCATCAGTGTTGCAACAGAAAATGAACTTTGAAAAAACAAATCCCTTTCTGATAAAAACAAGAATAAGATGAAAAACTATACCCCAAAGTGTCAGAAGTGCATAAAGAAAAAACACCTCAGGGAAATGTCCCCCCTCTCCTTTTCCAACCTCAGTTTAAGCTGACAGCATGGCCTTTCAAAGCAGTTCATTTCTGCTTTTTTGGCTGTAGTTTCTGCTACTCTAGGAGTTTTTGTGTACCTACTTCCCTTTTCATTTTTTATCATCTGTTTCCACCCTACAGCCCGGTTGCAATTCCTCCTTCCGTGCTGCCCTGGTGGCACAGCTCTGCAGGCAGGCAGGGGAAAGCAAAACTGTCCTCTGACCACAAGGCTGACAAAAGAATAAGCTGAGAAAGCAGTGGAAAGCTTCAGCAACACCAAAGACAGTGGCTTACACCTAAAACACTTGGAAAGAAGTGTTTCAGTGGGAAGGAACTCACAAAAATGTCTGTACTGTGCTTCCAAAACAGCAGCTCTGTAAAGTAAGAAATCTGAAGTTGGGCACCTCTGAAAGTGCCTCGTATTTGGTAAGAATTATGACAAGGACATCTACATGGCTAGGTGCAGAGCAGCCTCAACTGTTGTGTACCTACTCCCCATAGCAAACCAAGCACAGTATGGAAAACTGCTGAAACATTAATGGAATGCACTGGCCATACAAGGCAGGAAATATCCAAAAGACAACTCAGATGCAAAAGAAACTGAACTATTGCTGGTACCTTTCACTTGCCACACTTCCCCATAGCTGCTGCTCCAGAAGGCATTTTTGAAAAACAGAATTGGGGGGTAGGCTGGCAGGGGGTTGCAAAAAGCTGCATATCTATTTGATTTAAAGAGTAGTCTTCCTGAGACACTAAACAGGGACATGATTCAGTTCTGCTTAACACACTTTTGGAAGTTTTGGTCTTTGATCCATCTGCCTCTTAAGAATGCCAGAGTACTGATCATTTCTAGACAGCCAAGCTAACAGAAACCAGTTTGACTTCAGGACTTCATTACAGAACTAGTACTGCTCAGATTCAACACCAGCATCTCCCTGCTGATCAAGAAAACTACTGTTTCTAGCAAGCACTGAAAATATGTTTTTAAATATTCTTGCAAGTCACCATTTCCAAAGTCCTACACTCCCTCTCTCAAGCATGCTGCAAGGACATTTGACTCCCATCTCAAAGCAGACCTTGTGATGCCACAGCCCCACAGCAAGCCAGCCAAGAAAGCCCAAGGCACACCACCACCCTGATGATCAACTGCCACATATCCATGAGCTTCAGCATCACATGAGCAGCAGTGTCGATGCAAGAGAGAAAAAAAGGACAGGACATGGCTTTGCCAGTTTGGAACACTCTATATGGTCACTAAAATACATTCACAAATCAAGACTGCACTTACCCTGGGTTCCCACTAGTACCATTGGAATTTCACTAGTGTTACGATAGTTAGCCATACGGCTGTAGTAGTGGTAAACAGTCTGGAAGCTGATTTCATCTTCCAAGCTGAAGACAAATATAACAGCATCCACCCACATGGCAAACTGCAGAATAAAAATGGAAAAGGCATACTATGAGAAAAGCAGTGAAGAGGAAAATAAGAAAATAAAAACATTCTTACCTTACTTGGAGGGAAATACACATCAGTGAAATTTTGTAAGTGAAATAACAAAGGCCTTAAAAGTGGCATACATTTCTAAAATGATGAATTTCATCACTTTGCAAGTGATGGAGATTTGGGATACACAAAGGTTTTTCCCCACACTCACAACCACATCTCTTCTTCACTGGTACATGATGTTACAAGCCCAACTATCAGTGCACACTGGTTTTGACTCACAGTAAAAGGAAACATTACAACCTCAGATTTCTGCATTTGTGAAGGCAGAAAAACTCTTGTCTCTAGGCACTTGAGTGCCCTACTTAGTGTATTATTTCCCCACTGTGAGTTTTACATGCATGCATGCTGATGTTTCTGTTAATGCCAGGACAAGTATTATGGTTGTGGTTTTACAAGTAATGCTAGTAATTCTCACTTCTTTATCAATGTCTGAAAACATTAATTTCAGATTTCCAATTCTTCTCTATGTAAGCAGCCTTAACTGAGCAAATAGTACCCGATGTCTCCTTCAGCTTTCAGTGTGAAATCAAACTATTCTCTCTGGCATCAGTAATCTGCTAGAAGACATGCACACACAGAGGCCAAAGCAAGGTGCTCCTTAAGTGACCATGCAAGTGAAAAAGTTCTAGCTCACAAGTGAAGTAAGATTGTTTCAACACACTTGACATAATAGTAAATGTGTACAGGACATCAAAAATAGACTGAAGTTAAGCTTACCTCACTGCTTTTCGTTTTCCCTAAGTGACTCCATTCCTACCCAAATTTAGACCAATGGAAACAAGTTTCAGCCATTGGTATTCACACTCTCTATTTTATTACTACTACAATATGCCAGGTAGATTGGGGACACACCAAACACACAGAGTGCTTCAAGGTGATTCATTTGGGAAACATTTTGCTGAGTTTTACACCCCTAGCCTAGCACTGTAAGCCCGTACTTCAGCCTTACCAACTTGTGCAGTTTTGTTTCTGCTTTTGCAGCATTTAAACTGCTTTACTCAGGTTTGTAGATTCATACAATCTCAGCTTTTAGTAAGGCATCACAAGCTGGCATATGCAAAGGTGGAAAAAAATGAGTCTACAGTATGAATCTGGAAAGCTCTTTATGTACTCAAGTTGTTGAGCTCATTAAATTTTCCTTTTTCAGAATCAGGAGCTAGTAGTACTTGCCTATTTTTCATATGACAAATTAGCTGATATTTTAAGTTAATGTGGATATTCGTGACAGTAGTGTACCTCAAAACCAATACTCCATCATCTCTTATGGTTACAGTGCAAAAATAGCCAATAATGTGTTGACGTTTTCAAGAGTCAGGAGGACAGTATCCTAGATGGTAACGACAGGGCTGTTCACACACAGCAGTTACTGCCAGAATAAGGTCAACTACCACACTATTGTATTAGAACTATTCAAACCACAAGATCTAATCAAAGAACTGGAGACAGCATCAGTACAGTGGACTTGGTTTGGGGTGATCTTATAAAATGGTTCTCGCTGACTGGACTCAGCAGCATCATGCCAAGAACTCTTCCTTACAGTTACAACATCCTTAAAGCATCAGTTGGGAAGCTAAGAGTCTGCCTAAATTTTCTTCAGGTTTCATCAGTGTGTAGCAGCAGCATCCTTCTAATGAAGATTATTTAAAAAATCATGAGGGTGGTTGTTCAATGAAGTTCCTCCAGACACAAAATATTTCCAGTAATTTCTTATTTCTCATTTTATATTAAAATAAGTTTAACCTTTGAGGACATCTGACCTGTGATATAAAAAAAACAAAGATATTTTGGAAAACATGCACAAGGTCTGGAAATCCAGGATGCCTTATACACACCACTGTGTAAGGAATGGATTGAAATAAGGTAAGAAGGATACTCAGCTGCTGATACACAAAACCACCTTCAGACTTACTACTGGGATTGAGCAGATCCAGTTCAAGATAAACCAAACCAAAACCAAATTATAAAAAAGTTTTAAATTAAAAAGAAAAAAAGCAGCACGTGACAGCTCATTATAGCTATGTTAATTGGGTTTTACAATAGGAGGCCACCATATTTGTAATAGATAACAGCAAGAGTAAAATCAAAGCTGGTGAGCAAAAGAAAACGTCATTATTCACAAACTGAGCAGCAGCAGCAGCTAGTGCCCCTCATCACCGGCTCATTCTATGAAACGAGCTTTTTAAAAATTCTTTTCACCTTTGAACAATCTCAGACAAGAAAGAGAGACACCATAGATCCAGAAAGTGTGTCTTCAGGTGAGTTTGTTTTCCCTCCTTTCCTGCCAAAAAGAAGGGGACAGTAAACTGCAACCTGAGCTGCAGCCTCTGCAACTGAAGCAAAGAAGCCATCACCTGGTAGCTCTCCCCAAACCTTTAATTGCCAGGAAGACCACAGTTCAGCTCGTTACTTAATGAAGTTGTAATTCTATCCCACTTAGACACAAAAATATACTGTACTGTTGCAAAAAGCAGAATCTTAAGGCTAAAGTAACCAACCCTTTTTATCCTATAAGCAAATAGTGGGAGGTAAACATTATTCTTTCATTAGTATTCCATTCCCATTATACAGTTATAAGTATTAATGAACTCAAAGTAAACTTTTAATTCCAGGAATTAATAAACAGATTAAAGATCTTTAATACACACACGACTTGCAATTATATCAAAAAATCCAAAAGAGAATTTATATGTGAAATACATCTTCTGAAAGGTGAAATAAGCACTAACACATTAAACCTTTCCATCCTCGTGATTTGCTGAAGAACAAATCTCAGCCACGGTGGTAATTAAAACCCCCATATTACCTAGCATAGATCAAAAGCAAAACACCATGTCTCTTCATTAGTTTGCAGTTAGCTCAAATGAACTCAGCAAAACCAATTCTTCAGGTAGAAAAATATTTAGATTGCTGTGTGTACCTTTACAACTCCAGTTTTTATGTTTTTATATGAGTGAATGTTCTCTAAGCATCAGAGCCTGGAAACTGTTGTGTACTTCAGCCAAATTATTCACAGCCTCAAACAGAGCACTTCTTTTAGGCTTCTGCCTCACACGGCTGCAGATGTGTCAGCAACACTGATTTTTTGTTTTTTGTTTAACTTCCTTCCAGGATGTCTCTCTTGGTCTCCATTTCCTCCACCTCCTTTCTCTTCTCCTTTGTCCGGGCACCTTCCCCCATGCTCTAATCCTCCTGCAGCTAATGAGCAATAGTGGAGCATTGAAACACAAGCTGCTGCTGCTGGCACTGCTCCTGTTCAGCTGTTTGGCGATAGCACAGTTCCTGCTCCTAGATTTTTTTATTTTTTTTTTTTAAGCTGATCCACCACTGAACAGCCAAGCAAAGCAAGGTCAGCAGCAGTCAACACACTTGAGAAACACCACTAGTGCCTAGGTAGGAAGAGGTAGAGGGGAGACAAGGAGGATGCCTGCAGCCAGGCTGGCCAAGTCTGTGGTGATTTAAGCATCACCTAAGCAAACGCTTCATTTCACTCAAAATAGAGTAACAAGCACACAAAGCCACAAGTGTCTTCTCAAAGGCAAATCCTGATGAGTCACATTCTACTAGATGAGGAGGTAACACACTATATACAAGCACCAGGTAAGAAATCCTCCATGGTGCTGAATGGGAATTCACAACGTTGAGTCTTAACAGCACAGGGAGCAAAATGTGGAAGCAATAGGAAATGCAAAGATTTGTACACAAGTATGTGTGTTGCTGTGCATTCATCTACTTTGTATTTTAACAGCTTAATAAATTCTAACTCAGAAGAAAACTTATGACTATAACATGCAACTTTGCCACCTGGGGAAGCATATCGATCAGGCATTCCATGTAAGTTATCTATCTTTACTACACAGCCTCACATTGTCATTGAAATCCCAAGTATTTTCTATACAGAATATTTTTCACCAGAGGGTGATATGTAGATTTTCCCAGGAGAAAGACGAGCAAGATCCAGAAAAGAACAAAACAAAGCCAGGTCTCTTAAAGGAAGGTTTTTATAAAAGAAAAGGAAACCGTGCTGATAAAGCTCCATACGCAATGCTCACCTGTGCCTCTGGAGGGCCCCCTTCATCTCTAATCAGCAGCAGATAGCTTTGTCCATCAACTACTATCTCTTTCTTGAATCTCCCACCTGTCACACAAAGTAACTCATTACAGAACAGAAAAGGCAAAACAATACAGAATAGAAAAAGGCTTCACTTGTGGAAAAAAAACAGGTGTTCTTTCACAAATTAATTAACTGCTGTGAATGAAAGTTGAGTTCACATGCGTAGAAATGACTTAATAAAGTTAAGTCACATTTTAAGAATAAGGCTGATACGGAAAAAAAGCCAGCTACATTACAAAAACTAACTCCCACGTTAGGTGTACTTGGTTTTGATACATACAGGTAATAGTCTTTTTTTAATATATATATATATAATGGTGAGAAAATTAAGAAAGGCAAGCATGAGACAGCTGCATACAAACAATATCATATATTCTAACTAAAATAAATTTGTGTGAATTAGCATTTCCTCAAGAGAAGCCCAGTTCTTACAGCACACATGTAATGTTATGAAAATGATACTTCTATATTCACAAACCACAGTTAGGGGAAAATACCAGACACATGTTAAGACAAAAAAACTACAATGGTGGTACCTCTGTAGAGATGTATTAAACTAACAGAGAATGTTGTGCCACTTACTAGCAGGATGAATTAAAGACCTAATTTGGAGATGCAGATAAAAGAGAAGAGTTGCAGCCTTCAGCCAAATTCTATTCCTGGTCCTATTATTTCAGGGAGGTGTCAAGCTTGTGAAGACCAAAGAATTGGCACCAAACCTAAGAAACCAAATGAGGGTGTGCAGCTGCACGGTAACCTTCTCTCTCCACTGGCCTCATGGGGACTTCAAGCATCCCCCAAGGGCAGAATGGGGATTGCTCTCCTTTGGGGTTGAGCATATTTCAGGCATCCTGCTGTGTCTCATGATGGACTTCAGATAACGACAAATCACATTTAGGGTTTCTGGTGTGACTGAGCCTAAGTCAGGATAAGCAAACTTGGCCTACCTAAGTAGCTGGGTTGCAAAACCACTGATCTCCCCACCAAAGCCACAAAGGGCCCAAGGCCTCCATGCTTAGCACTGTTCAACCGCCTCACATCCAAACTTACCAGACCAAGATAAGCCCTATCTAGTAACACATCCTAAACTTATTTCTTCGTCCCTATTTCATTAATGGCAATTATTTCCCATTTGAGCCCTATTTCCCAAATACACTTAATTCAAAACTTGTCACACTACCAAAACCAATACATTGGAACACATGACAACCACTCTGACTTGTTCTCCAAGCAATCTCTCTTAGCAAGTAAGTCAGCACATACAGGCTAATGCTGATCCTCAAAACTTTATTTGCACAAAAATTGCTAGCCTTAGGGAAACAACAAACTGGCTTAGACTCACCATTCCCCCAGCCCAACCATTACAGCAGGTTTCAAATCAAGATCACTCAACAGTTCAACTATGTGCAATACTTAAACATGTTTAAACACATTTCATGTTTAATAAAAGACAAAACCAGAGTTTTCTGTTTGTGGTTTTGTTGCTGGGTTTTTCTGTGGTGGTTTGGTTATTTTACAGTTTCTTTATAAACCTACCCTATTAAGAACAGCTTAGAAGTATCAAACTTGCAACAATTAAGACTGCCACACTTCTGGTTGTTTAACTGCATAGGAGTATAAGATCTGTGTATAGATTTCATTATCTTGCTCACAAACTGAATTTCAATTTTGCCTTCGAAGATCAAGTGGCAGATAAATATATATCATTAGCAAACTTGAAAAGAATACTGAAAACCAAGCGCAAAACTTTTAAAGAAAACTAGTCTCAGCTCTCAGCAACTGAATTTCTATTAACTGGATCATTATTTCTATATATCATCAATTAATTGTATACGCTTCACAATGAGGTGTTAAATAAGATGAATTACTTAATATACAGCCATCCAGAGAGGGTCTTTAAAGCCGTAAGTAATAATGGAAAAGCAGTATATATGTGATCAAAGAGCGAAAGTCCTGTGTAATTGTCATTTCCTATTTCTTTTTTATTAAACACTGAAAGTTCACAGCTAATTATAAATTACCATGAACTGAACACACTTAAGAGCCAACTCATTATTCCCTTTTGTCAATAGGACACCTTTCAAGTCTCGCTGTATCTTCAAACAGTCCTCAGAGGCATAAAGAAGGTACAGACAAGGTGAAATAAAAAGCTTAATTAGAGAACTAAAAAAAAAAAAAAAAAAAAATAAAAAAAAAAAAAAATTATATATTATTAAAATGTATAGAGACCACAAATGAGAGCACTAAAAGATTTATACTTGAGAGCCACTTCATGGTCACTAATTATTTTGTTTGTGGGAGCAGCTGTGAGAAGCGTATCATATTTAACAAATGACACAGTTATATATAAAGTTATCAACAGCTCCTTTCTTATATGAATCCATACTAAGTGACAAGCTTGTATCCATGCTCCTTGCCTTCCCCAAATACACTGTGTGTGGAGCTCAGTAAAATAATAATGTATTTTTATTTCCAGTATTAAATCCAAATCTTGACATGCTGTACCACTTCACCATGGTCCGTCACACTGGAAGAGCAGTGCTGCAGTCAACCAGCAGACAGTCAATTCAGATCTATTCAAGTGACTTCTTTATCCACAACAGCTGAGTGTGCTCGTTATCTAGAATATGCACTAGTTCCTTGCACTTCCTCATGCATTCATTTATTTTTGTTTGAGTTTAGGTATTTCATGACAAATAGTTTAAATCTAATAAACCCCCCAACCACAGTTTAAAAGAATGTCCTGCATTTCCAATCTGTACTAAGCATTTCAAATCAAGTCTGAAGATCCAGAACTGTAACAGCAAACTCATGCTCATCCCCCAAATAACTATTATTTTATGCAAATTTGAGATCAAAGCAGGATGCATTCCTATTAACCTATGTTTCTATACCATTAAAGAGCCCTTATGAGCACATCATAAAGTTAGGTACTACATAGGACAGAGACTGAGAACACCTACCTCAATATCAAGAATTTACACAAGCAAAAACATAAACATGAATATACAGACTTCTGACAGCATATGAAACCAAGGCTACGTGGTTGTCCTGCATTATCTGTGGCCATCAGAATAAGGGCAGCAATAGACTGATTCTACCTTTGACTTGATGAGCCCTGATGTGATCCATCTCCAGGCCAGGCAAATAAAAGCTGTGCCAAGGGCAGTGATTTTAGGATGGTTCGGCTTGCACAGCACTACACTACTAATTTTTTTTAAAAAAATACATCTTCAGAGTCTGTAAAGCATCACAGGACCATCAGGAAAGAGAAACCAGAGAGATCATCCAGTTCAAATATTGAACTACTGCAACCTGTCAAAGCAGTCAAGAAGTCTCTCCTGCCTACAAAATACCACTGTACTTTTCTAAATATCTGTATGTATGATGAAGCAACAAGATACTGTCTAAGCTGATGACACAGAAAACAAAGAAATGACCTTCTTAATTTAAAGAATGAGCTCAAAAACCGACAGCGCTGGTCCCAAGGGAGATAGCTAGCTTTGTTCTAGTCCCATCAGTATTATGACACATGCAGCTTTTTAATGAGGGAATTTCTCAACTCCCATAAGTACCTGCCAAAGGAGATCATCAAAAGAGAAAGACTAGCAGCCTAGACCACAGCTCTGAAGGACAGAGTGAATCACTCCTGCAGTCTCCTAACAGGCATGTCAAAGCACAAAGATGCTGGAGCGCAAGGTGTGCAGTCAGCTACAGCTGAACTACATTTACTTGCAGCCCCAATCTCATCTCTAAAGCCATATAAAAGATATGCCAGCAAATACCTAAATAACTCTCTACAGGCCGACAGATGGAGCTGGAAACTGTTTTCATGAAATGTCACAGCAATTTTATAAAAACGTATCACTGAAACTGCATGGAAGCTTTCATCTGGGAGGATTTTAGTATGTGGTTTATTTATTTTCTCTAAAACTCTGTATTTATAAACTGCTGCATTATTCCTAGTTTTCCAGGGCAAGATCATTATCAATTCACACAGGCTTGTTTTGAGACAAGTACAAAATTTTGCATAAGGAGGCAAATACTACTCCTGCGTACAAACCATACACAATACCCACCAGAAGATACAGAGAGGTGCTTCTGATGCAACCCATAAAACCACCCAGCCTCTTACGTGCATTAGGCCAGATTCTTCCTGTGAAAGGCTCCAGATAAAAATAAAGCTTCGATCAATATAAAGCTAAATAAATTCTGTGCATCAGCTATTTACAGCCACGGCTAAAGACCCAGCACAAGTCAGAATACCAGGCTGAGGGAATCAACAAAAGCTTCCTAATCTCATTTCTATGCACATCATTCTATAAAGGTTAGCGCTTTGATTCAGCAGTAGTAATAAACTGCCCTTCAGTAAAAATGGGTACTAATTTTAAATACTGCACGCATTTGTAATCAAAAGTGCTCTATACTGCGAAACCTTTACGCTACATAGGGAATTCCACAGATGGAGGTTTACATCCAGCTATGAAAGCCTGGCTGCCTCTTCCTCTAGCTGATAGCTGTTCCACTGCGTAATTGCTCACCGAAGCAACTGCTGATTTTCATACTGTATCCCCAGGCTCAACTGCATTCGCCAGGCTCTTTATTCAAGCAAATTGCCACAGGGATGAAGTTATTTGGCCATATGAGAAAGATAAATTTGGGGGGCTGGCCACATGACAAACCCATGAAGCAGCTGAATGCCTACTGTAACCATGGGGGCAGGGCAGACAGGAGCAGGCAGGAAAAGAGAGACAGAAGGTAAGACTGAAGCAGCCACAAAAGCCTGTATTTTATATTCCCAAAGACACATGTATTTTGACAACAGTGGTCAGTTGTCTCACAAACACAGATTCTGTCTCTCTTTTTTTTTTCCTTCTTAAGATAGAAAAGACAGTACCAAAAATCTGGCTTCTCTTCAGGAAAACACGTTAAGTCTTTTATTCCCTCCATTCATACATACCTCATTTCAGGACCAAATATATGACAATCACTAGTTAAGGTCAGAAAAAAAGAAATGCTTGCAA